CCATGGTTTCCCCAGCCTTTGCCAATCAAGACAGGGCAGAGGGTGACGTCCTTCTTTTTTCGGATTCCAGCTACATGGCGGCAGAGAGTTTGTAGGGATCTCGGAGGAAACTCCTCCCCCCCCCCCTTGTTATGGAGAAAACGACGCTGCCTCGCCGGCCTTTTGAGATTCCCCGAGAGCCGTCGGCTGAGGATTATGACGAGTCTAAGGGCGGTGAGTCGACTCAGAGTGGCGATTCCTGCGCTCCGTCTTTGTCCAGCAGTTCCGAGTAAGGAGAAAGAGCTTCTTCCCCGCTTTTACGATCGATTAAGGCCTGAAGTCTGTGCATGTGCTGAATCCCGAAGGGCAGGGGGTTGGTTTAGGAATTAATTATTTGAAATGACCACCTTCTTTGTTGCTTTTAGAAACGCAGAAAGTGTGGAATTGCAATTTCCCCAACGGAATGCTTTTCATTTGCCTCCATCTAGGAACTTTACTGATTTATCCCTTAGGCCCTTTTCTTCCCGACGAATAGCGTGGCATGTCAGCATGGGAGATAATATCTAGGGAGATTCTCAGTCATCCAGGTCATGGTTGTCCGAAAGGTGCTTTTTCAAGAAGCAGCTGGACTTTCTCATTTTTCTTAGAAGACGTTTGGCTTCTAATTCAAGAAGCTTCTCCAGCTCTGACTGGATGGTGGGGAATGGAAATATTGGAAATAGGATAATGCAGTTCTTTTCTGTATCTGTTTGGAAAGCCTTCATTCTCTCTAGCCTACTGAATCTGAAAGAGTGAGTGGAATTTGCCCCATCTATATTTGTTCTGAATGAATGGGGAAGTATCCTGGCTTGTTAGCTGGGAAATATTCACTTTTAATCCCAAACCAATAATTAAATACTAAATAAAAATTCTAAATGCTTTCTCCTTCCTTCTCAGATCACCTATTTTGCTCTCCTTTTTTCAATTGTCCATCTTGAAACTTTGCTGATAGAGGGCAAGGAATACATATTTAGTTATTAAATTTATATGCTGCCCGTCTCACTGTCAAGCATGGCAGCAAAAGTGGAAACATTTCATCCAAAGAGAAGTATGTAGCGATAACCCCTATATCTTCAGATATTAATCTAGTCCAGTTTCTAAGCAAACACAAGCTCACACATTGCACAATTTGATCTGATGTGGTAAAAGAGTGCTACATTTCTTTCATTGTTTAGCAATCTGCAAAGATTTAACAATGTTTCCCATATATTATATGAAATATATAAGATTGAATTCACTATTGGATTATAGGGAATGCTGTCTTCAGTCTGTTAATAACCTAATAGTAACTTTGGAAGAGGTAGCTCTTTCTCTGAAAAAGCAGGTATATACTTAGCTTCGTCCTAGACCAGTGATGGCAAACCTTTTTTGCCTCAGGTGCCAAAAGCATGTGCGTGCGCCATCATGCACGCTCGCATGCCCACCTCCATAATATCCCCCCTCCCCCCCCCCGCTGGGCCCCTACACATGCACAGGGTAAGCGGGAGGGTGTGTGTGTCACGCATCTCCAGAGGGTGAAAAATGGCCAAAAATCAAGACCGAAAAGCAGCTGTCACAGGAACGCCTCACGGGCCCTCAGAAATAGCTCTACGTGCCACCTGTGGCACATGTGCCATAGGTTCGCCATCGCGGTCCTAAACTTTTGGCTAGTACTTAAACAACAGACAGAGGCTGTTCCTGCAGTGGTATTTGTCCAGATTTGGCTGGCATGTCAGTTCCATCATTTCCTGGAGAGGGAAACCCTGGCACTGTGACACATTCCATAAAATTTACTGTAATGATGCTGCCCTTGAAATCTATTTGGAAGCTGCATTTAGTCCAAAATTTGGAATCCCTTCTGTTGGTGGATGACAGATTTCAATACAATTAAAAGTGCTGGTAATTACCTTAAAAGCCTGATGGTTTGGGACTGAATATAAATGGGATCATCTTCACCCATACAATAATATCTAATGGAGAAGGCATCCTTTTAAGTGTTGTTTAACTGAACTGAAGTAGTGTTTCCATTAGAACACAAAAGCAAGTCTTTTATGTTACTGCTTCCTCCTCTGAACAGTATTTCATTCAAGTTTAGATCAGAACCAGCCTGTTGGCATTTAGACAAACTGCTAAGGCCTGATTATATTGGGAAGTGTTTGCAGATAGGTAATAATGTTAAATTCCTAATTTGCAAAAGAATATTGTTATGGTGAATTTCACTTAAATGAATGACATAGGTTATTATAATGCCCAGTGTACCAGAATAGATTAGAGATTAGAAACCAGTAAAGGAGTTTTGTAGTGCAGGGTTGAAATGAGGGGTCCTTGGTGCTCTCTGAGCTTGGTTGTTTTCTTGCAGAACTTAATTACCCAAACTAGGTAACATTATCAGTTCTAGTCAGTGATGTTACCGAGTTTGGGTAATGAAACGTCTGCAAAAAAAACACAACTAAGTTCAGAGATCACCAATGATTCCTCAGATTAGAAGCCACCAACCTCCACATATACACTTTTTATATTTTAAAAATTATGATCAATATTCACAACCATTGTTATCATGACTAATTTAGCTCTGTATGTTGTGCCAAAAGTGTTGGTTTCAGCATCCAAGGCTTTTGAAGCATCCAAATAGTAAATCTTTTGAGTGATAGTTTCTTGGTCCTCTTCTGCACTTCATAACAATTTTATGTTAATTATAAATTAAATATACTCTTCTTCATCTTGTCCATAGTAACATTGAACCTGAGTGGTTGGACAGTGTACAGAAAAATGGAGAATTATTCTACCTAGAATTAACAGAAGATGAAGAGGAAACCATCCCTCGTGACAGTTCTCTTGCTAGATCTATGATGAGCCATGTGAGATTTCGTGAAAATGAAGCTGAATTTTTTCATGAGAAAGCTGTAAAAGACAGAAAGTGTGAACATAGATTGCAACAGTTTTCTAATTTATTAAAGAATAAAGGTCTTCTGAGGCATTTTGAAAAGAAGAAAGCAAGTAGTAAAGTCACTGTCCATAATTATGGCCCAGCATCCATATTGAAATACAATTCTTGCCATAAGATGGGAGATGTCGCCCAACAGCTGTACAAAGACATTTACATTTATGTAAATCCACATAAAGGCTCAAATGCTGCAACAGGGGACCAACATGAGCTTCTGGAATCCTTAATAGGAATTGTCCACCAACGACCATGGACAACAGCTGAAAAATATAATCATGGTACTGAATATAGAAGTACTAATGAAGAAAAAATTACAGTACATGGTTTCATCCCAGGAAGCTCAGCAATAAAATCTGAACAGATCTTAATTGGTAAGTTCAATATTTTACACACTTCTGACAAAACCAGAATTGTGGAAGATGGAGGGACTTATTTCAATTTTTGTATTGGTCTTTTGATTAAGGGATAGGTCATGGTTTGAGAGATATTAGTCTTATTTGAGCAATAAACATTTAACATGTTATACCTCAGGGGTATCAAACTTGCATTGCCATGGCATTGTCATATAACGTATTAACATATGACGTAAAAAAAATTTGAATCCCACCACTGGACCTAAAGCAACATATTTGGAATTGATAGTTGTTCATATCCTGTTACAGGAACAAATACATTGCTGGTAAGGGAAGCAAAGAGAACAGATAATTTCATATATAAGTGTCTCAAATGAAATAAATATTAATCCTCAATAAATGCGTATAAATCAGCCATTCTTAAGAAACAACCAATCCATTGTTTGGAATTCTATTTTGTTTGCTTCTTTAATGTTGCTTTTCCTTCTGCTTTCAGGAGATGTCCTTGTTGCTGTAAATGATGTTGATGTAAACACTAAAAATATAGAAAGAATTTTGTCTTGTATTCCTGGTCCTATGCAGGTATACTTCAGTTGACTTTATTTAGACAAGCATCAAACATTAAGTTTTTTTATACTAGTTTTCTATATGAATCATACATAAAACACAACTTTCGTTGTAATCCTTGATGAAAGTAAGTTGCTGTCAGGGCACCGATTTGCAAAAGAGAGCACATATTTTAGTCATTGACTAGGATGAGTGTCTCGGGCTCTTATTTGGTCATATTCCTTCAACTAAAAAGGATAAAATGGATGATCTTGAAAATAAAATGTATATTTCATATTTATTTTTTTAAAGGTATGTATGTTTAGAATAATGATTGTATTCTGCTCTAGCCAGTCCTGTCTACCTACCTGCAATACAAATATTAAAAATCAATAAGACAAGAATAGGGTCAAGGAGAAGCATTAAAATTTTTAGCACTAAGCAGAAAGATTGGACAGGCATATTGTTGCCTGAGCAGTTAAGATATGATCTTTGCCATTTCCCTTATTCACTCTCTAAACAGAAGAGATGCCTTTTTACCTTTTGGCATAGTTTCATAATCAGATGCAATTATGCTGTAAACATCATTTACAGCAACTACAGTTTGGGCGGAACTCTTCTATATCTTGAAAATGGTACCGTTTTCTCTGAATTGGTGATGTAGAGCCTTAAAAACCTTAAGTAATCGTAACAATATAGGGACAAATGTGAAAAATGCACAGAAATAGGAATTGGTGGCGCATAGACACTGATGGTCAACTTCCTTCAACTTTTTGAAGAAAATCAAATCATAATGTTAATGAACCAATAATAATTACATTAAATGATATTTATCAGAGTGAGACAAAAAGTATGAAGCAAAAAAGACATTCTAGAGCAATTGATAATACTGAACATCACTTGCTGATTCCAATATGACAAATGCATTTAAATTACTTAAAACTATTTGCTCCATTTTAAAAAATCTGAAAGCAGATTACACTTCAATCATACAGTGTGTTTACTTCAAGTCTTTGCTATTGCAGGTTTTACTTTTGCAGTTGTTAATAATGAACAATTTGGATTCATTACTTCATTATATTTATGAATACCATGGCTTACTGATCCTACTGTTGTCCATGTTTAAAACTACTACCTGTCTAGAAAACATTTCTAAAGATCCAAATTATACCCAATGAAACTATTATTAATTCTTTTAACAGGTAAAATTTACATTTGAAATAGCAGCAATTGAACCAACAGGAACATCTCAGTCAAAGAGTAAACAGACAGAATCCTCTGAAAACAACTTGGTGAATCTGCTGTGGAAAGACCATAATAATGATTCGCAGTTCTCTCTGCAAAGTATACCACATATTGTAATGTATCTCTCACTTAACTTGGAATCTGATTCATCTGATGAGGTAGGAATACATTTCTAAAATAGTGCATGTATCTTGTCTTTCAAAAGAAAAGTGACCAATAATAAGACAAACACAAATGCAACAAAAAAGCAATGAAAATAAAAATTCTTTCCAATAAACTGTGGAGACTAGGAAGAGAGCAAGAATAATCTATAATTACAAGCAAAAGAGTGGCAAAACATGGGGGTGTTAAAAATAGGATCAGCCTAAAGTCCCTATGTAGTCAGGATAAACTTATAAATAGCTTGAGGACCTATACTTTAAAAGAGAAAAATTGTAAAGTGCGTTTTAAATTGGCTTGGGAGGAACGCTTCTATAACTTGAAATGCCAATATTATAATCTCAGTTTTCTGAATTTTGATGCAACAGACTTTACACATAACAGAACAAAGTGTATAATAATATCATTTCACAAAAGAGAGTGACATCATAAGTATTGATTTACATAATTTGTGTAATGTCTCTTAGGGAGATTGTGGGATAGCAGAAACCTATTTGGTGCACTAAAGTGGAATTTCATATTAGAACTTGGATTCAGTAAGATAATGTACATTCTCTCACAAAAACAGTAATATTTTTAGCATGGCCTGCAATTAAAAACTTTTAATTACAAATGACTTTATTATAAAAATTTTAAAAGGGTGCAAATAATTTAATAATATGTAGTTATAAAATCAGCAGTAATGAAATGTACTAGCAAATTGTGTACACAAATTTCCCAAGGAATCCATCCTTTATTCTTGAATGTGAGGTTTTTACAATACATTTCTCTGGTGAGGATGTTTAGATGAAATCAAGAAAGATCCATTTTAATTATGTATATGGATTTTCCCATAATTTTCTTAACTGATACACAAGCTGGCATTTCTTTGACAGCAAGAAATTATTTACCAATATCCCATATCAGAAGCATCTCAAAAAATAAAAAGTGTAAGAGGAATATTTCTCACTCTGTGTGACATACTGGAAAATATGACTGGGACACAAATAATTAGGCAAGTATTGCTCTTAATTTATCATTTATGCACCATCACCAGATTTCTTATCTTTTTCTTTAGAATTTAATAATTTTATACCTTTGGTTTAAATTTGCTCTCCCTGATCTCTCATAAACCATGATTATTGAAAACTATTACCTGTTTTCATGAGAAATAGGAAAAGAATATACTATATACCCAAAAATAGACATATCACAATTTTTTTAAAAGTCCACCAAATCAAATTGAATGCTATTGAATATTATTCATGAGCTGCCAAGTTATTGTTATTTATATTGTTGGTTTTTTGTATTTTAACAATTAGTATAAATTATTTAGGATCATAAGAACTGATTTAAGTATTGTAAGCTAAGTAAGTATTGTAAAATAAATAATAAATTGAACATGGTCATGTGCTTCTTGAATTCTAAATGTTACCCTGGCTATCCAAAGTTGTCCAACACTGGATAATATGACAAATCATATAGTAGTACTGTCTTGGCATCTGTTATATTATTTGCATAGTCCAAGCTGCATATTAAGATAATATACATATAGGAGAATAATAAAAAGAAACTGATGGGAAGAATTTTAGCAATTAACTATTGCTTGAAATTAAAATAGGAAAGAGTTTTTATGCATAGTGCTAACTGACACATTTGTACAATGTTATAATTGCATAACCATATTTTCTTTATTGTTTTGTTGACTTTTTATAGTTCATCTATGTTTTTATGTGGGAAATTGATCCATGTAGCTTATTGGAAGAAGGCTGATAAGCTGCTCATAATTGGCCTTCCAGCTGAAAGGTACATTTCTGTATTTTTCCCTTTTTAATATTTTTGTCCCTAAAATTATTCATAAATATTTACTAAATCAAAAGATCATCCTTCTAAGATGGTTGTTAAATTCTAGTCTCTTATGGCATATAACAAAATTAAAACAATATTTTAAGTATAGAACCCCCAAAATTAGTTTGTGCCCTTTTCATTTGCTTTTAATGACACAGGATTGTGTGCTATTCCTTGCACACATTTTCCTTCTCCCTTATATGCATTTGTTCCATTAGAAAAATTATCTAAAAGATTATTCTGGTTTTCTAGTGTACCTCTCTCTCAGCTAAGGAACATGATTGCAGATATTGTGAGAATATTGACCTTTGTATACAATTCCTTGGATAGGTAAGCATTCCAGTTCTGGACCATTGTAACTAAGCCTATGCATTTTCACTTCGGTTGCACTTACATTGTTTAAAATATACTTGTAGGATTATATTTTGATGGACAGATCCAGTTACCAAATTTTGAATTATGCTTGAAAATTCTGTCAGTCTCACATGTGATTTGCTCTGCAGAATGGGAGTGAAAAATAAAACTCAAATTATTTAAATTCCCAGGAGATAAAGTGTAGCTTTGTTTGCTAGATATACTTTTTATGTTTTAAATAGCAATATAAAGATGAATCTCTGAATATATTTTGAAATATATGAAATAAATATTTAATTTTGTTTTCTCAGTTAATAAAGCAAGTTGTTCACAGTCATTTGTTTGTTCAAATAGTTTTTTCTCTTACATTCTTTAAAGATCAGTTTCCTATTGGAATCTCAAACTGTTTCTGAAGCTCCATTTAGAATTTGAAAGTTTTGCTCTTGCATATTTTGACCTGGGTATAGAATATTTTTCTAACCTCAACATAGTCTAGGAAAGGGGTATCAAACTCGCAGGCAACAAGCTGGATGCGTCAAGTGCTGGCCAAACCCATCCCCATCCCAGAGGTGGGTTCCTACCAGTTCACACCTATTCGGTAGAACCGGTTCGTCAAATCTACTGAACTGGTTAAAAGAGGTTCCACCAATGGACCCGGAAAGCAGGCCACACCTACAGAAGAGGTTCCAAAATTTTTTGAAATCCACCACTGCCCCACCCCCATTTTAGCA